CATTTAGCACTCAATATTCAGAACCTTTGTCATCCTTAAGGCATATCTTTACAATGGCTGTCATATTTATTTCAGCGGACACTGTTTATTTTGTAATGAATACCATAACACATTTAGATGCAAAAACCTTTAGGTTTTTTTGTTATCTTTGTAACATCTTGATGGTGTATTCCTAGTTTTTCCTGTCCCTTCACACCATTCTCTGACCCCATTTCCCATATTACTATTTTCTTCTCTTACCTTGTCTGTTTGATATCTGTCTTTCCACATTTAATCCCTTGCCCCACGTATTTAGTTTCAAACCCTCTCTCCTTCACTAGTTATGTGATTCACAAAACACTGGCCCAGCATGAGGGTGTAGACCATTCCAACAGTACAGCTTCCACTTTCCTCAGCGCTGGGTGCTAGCGGCCCACAAATTGGAACCTGTTTCTTCCTCACCCTGGTCTTTCAGCCACGTAGTTATCACTCGTAATTTTATGTATCCTGTGCCAATGGGCTCAGGCAATATGCAGAAGTTATAATCTGGCACAAGGCAGGCAACACAGTCTTCTGGACTCTTAAATAAAAACCGAAAGAACTGCGGATGCTGTAAATCGGGAACAAAATCAAAGTTTCCGGAGAAGCTCAGCGGGTCTGGCAGCATCTGTGAAGAGAAAAACAGAGTTAACGTTTTGGGTCTGGTGACCCTTCCTCAGAACCGTTCTGAGCATCTGTGAAGGGAGAAAGAGTTGCCAGATCTGCTGAGCTCTTCCAGCAACTTTGTTTTTGCTTCTGGACTGTTGCTGTTTGTTGTAGAGAAATGTCAATTCCACTAACTGTTCTGTTTGCCTATTACTGATACAGTTCTTGTTGCTCTCCCCATTTGAATGGCTTCTTATACCATAGGGCCACACTCAATTAACACATCTGGCCTGAAAGCCCTGGCTCACATCCAAACTGGCTGAAAGAACATCAGACCCATTGGGCAATTACAGAGATTGCCAGTTCTGCATTCTGCCCTCTTGGTGCCTTTATCTGCCTCACTTTGTCACATTCACCTGTCCCTGACTAAATCAGGAGGGTCCTTTTGAGTGTTGTAACTGCTTCCTGGTCTAAAGAATCCAGGTAACCTGCTTTTCCCTGACGCATTATATTTCTGTAATTCGGCCTTCAGTCCAAATTCTGGGCCAAGACTGTTCAAACTTCAAAAACTTACTGCAGATGTGTATCAACAAACTCCCACATGCTGTAGCCTTGAAACACAATGTGACCTGACATCCAAATGAGTTTTAATTATTTAGTTACATTATTCACGTTGCTTTTTATGTATCTTAATGCACAAGTTGGCGGTGAAGTTATGTTAAAATTTAAAACCTTGACCATTTGCTGGAAACTCCTCAAACAGTAAGTTTCTTTCACTGGAGCAAGAACTAATTATAATTAGTTCCATTGAATCTAGCGGTCTCTGAGTGCCTGTATAAGGGCTCTTGCCTTGCATGCTTCTCCATATAATACTGACTTCCTGTCTTGGGGCCCTTGGCTCTCCCCTTCTTTAGGTATTATTGACTGCTTGTCTTAGCGTCTCCTCTCACTGCATCAAGGAGCTCCAGCAAAACTGGAATCAATGGGTACATTGGGGGTAAACTCTTGACTGGCTGGTGGCATACCTGACACAAAGGAAGATGACTGTGATTGTTGGAGGTCAGTGATCTCTGCCTGAGGACATCTCTGCAGGAGTTCCTCAGGGCAGTGTCCCAGACCCATCCATCTTCAGCTGCTTCATCAATGATCTTCCCTCCTCCATAAGGACAGAAGTAGGGATATTTGCTGATGAGTGCACAGTGTTGAAAAGACTTCTCAGATACCAAAGCTGTCCATTTCCAAATGTAGCAAGACCTGGATAAAATCTAGGTCTGGTCTGATAAAGTGCCAGGCACTGACCATCTGGTCAGAGATGGGGATATTCCTGTTTAAACATTCATTTTATTTTGATACAAGTTTTTTTTTATTTGTTCAGGGATATAGGCATCACTGACTGGCCAAGCATTTGTTGCTATCCCTAATTGCCCACATGTGCCCAGACCTGGGGTAATAAAAATAAAGAACCACAGATGCTGGAGAAAATCAGCAGATCTGGCAGCATCTGTAGAGAGAGGAACAGAAGTTAATATTTTGAGTCCAGTGACCTTTGGTCAGAAGCCTGGAGTTCTGGATTACTAATCCAGTGAGATCACTCCACCATCTCCCCATTATCTGCTTTAATTGTATGGAGGAGAATAACCTTAAACACAGAATAGATATATTACAGAGAAATGTATTTATTTAGGGCTGAATGCAAATCAAAACTGAACTGTAATGGAAATGGTGTAGTCTTCATGCACCTTAGTATTAAATGTACATCTGATTGGGGAAAAATGTGTTCTGTATAACATTAAAGCTCTTTGTTTTTAATTTAGTCTTGAGGATGTAAAGTTTTTTTGTAGCAAGGTTAAATGACAAATAGGTCGTAACTACAGCAAATATACATAATGTTCCCAACTTCAGATTATCTTGCCTTTTTCTGTCTCCTGGATGAATTTCTGGCCATTAACCATCACCCTCTTAAAGCGCTCAGATATTTTTTCCTGGAATTAATAAGCACTGCTGGTAAGCAGTATACCTAGCACCAAACAGAAAACTTTGGCTATGAAATGTGATTACCTGTTTTGTAGTCTTATCTACACTTTTTATTTGTCGTTATGCATTCACTTGAAATATAGTTAAAATTTTCAAACAATGTTTCTATTTTTGTTTATTTATGTTGATTCTCATTTTTCTCCACTTGACATTGATTGTTTATATTTTGCTTGTTGTTTGTCAGGTTCTCTAGAGTCAACAGATAAACTTTATACACTAAAAGCCCAAACCTCTGAAGGAACCCCACCCTCAACACCCACAATTATTCACACCAAACACAAGTCACCAGGTATGTCCCATTTCTAATTTCTCTCATTCTTACTTTTGTGAATACGCAACATGACAGCTGTCAAGTAACCTCCTTATTTTCATGCTTCAACAAAATGTTTTCTCACTGCTTCTGAAGTGTTAGGTACTGCAATTCTGCATTAAATTTGAAGATAGTGTAAATTGTGGTTTTATGAAGTCAAAGCTCAAACTAAAAATTTAGAATTGTTGGAGGACCATGATTTCTTTTCAAAGATCCAAGCACTTAACCCCCATGTTGCTGTACAATGTGTAAAACAGCTCAAAACATAGGCTGGATTTATTATTTCAAATGCGAGCATTCAGATCACAGCATTAGAATAAATACAAATTAAGTTTGATTGGTTTGAAAAATAAAGGGAACATCATTGGGTTTATACCAAATGGGATGTTATTTTTCAATTTTAAAAGTTGCATATAATCAATCTATCTACATGCTCCATAGTCGTAGAGCCTAGAAGAGAGTTTCAGATTATTCTGAAAAATTGCAACTAACCTTAAGGGATGTAAATGAGCAATTTTAAGTGACTGTAATTACTAATACAATTACTTGTCCAGCTATTTATCCAATGGTACGTGTAAACAAGCAAGAGTAATCCATCTCCAAGTTGTAGTCACTCAACACAACAGCTAGAAAGATTACAAGAATGACTTAGGGATGACCTGGGTCCCCATACCTAAGAGGAAATGTTTTATTGTGCATGATCTCTCCAAAGCCACTAAAAGGATATCTTCTTAGCTGGTAATATGCAAGGATGGATTCTTACCTCAAAATAGTGGAGTTACTGAACATGGGCATTTTAACTTAATAGGACAGAAACTGTTTAGAAGGTCTTCCAGGACTTCTGCCTCTGATACAGTCAGTGAAACTTCAATGGGTCACACAGAAGAAATGGAAGAATCTCGGAGCATCACAGAAACAACCAGACTTGAGAGTAAAATTGAAATTCACCAAAGCCCTGAATCTTCAGTTCAGCTGAATGGTGATTTGGAGTTTCCAGGACACCCACAATCTGATGGAACTAGTAATGACGTAAAAGTCGTTCACCAGCCCTCTGAACCAGCAGAAGCTGAGGGTTTAGAGAAAGAAGATCTTAGATAAAATGGAAAAAAGCGGTAAGACTTTGTACACAGGAAAAAAGCACATGGCCTATGCTTGGGATAACATGGAACCTTTAAATGTGAACTGTGCCATGAGATAGTACAGTAAGGATACTACTATTGTATGCCTTTAATTAGGACTTTGCACATTACTGTGACATGACTAGGAATTTCAATTGTCATTGAAAGGTTGATTTAAAAATTGATCCTAAATTAAATCTGTCAAGGGGCCTGAATCTCAGAAGTGCAATTGTTCTGTTTTCTTAAGAGGGCTAAGAAAGCACCAATTATTTTCTTCCTTACAATTATCAATCTGACTCACTAAGTTTGCAGTATAATTACGTATGCTTATCACCATGAATATATGGGTTAATTTGTAGTTTAAAAGTAAATTTTACTATTGCTGTCGCTGTCAATATTTAAATTGGGTGGGGATCATTTTATTTCTGTTCATTTTGCACATTGGTGGTTTTGTCCTTTACCTGTTACCACCTCCTATGTACATCTTTTGACTCAAACACTGATGCTTGAATGATATTTAAGCTACAAGGGTTGGGGGTGGGGGGGGAAGAAAGTTGAATTCAGTGTTTTGATTCTTACCTAAAATCAAATAAAATTTATTTGAGAAACATGACTCAGACTCATTACTTAAGGCTGTTCAAAGCTGTACTTTTGTATTTTCAAATGTCAAGTTAACACACAACCACTGGGAATAAGAATTATTGATCTGCTTGAACTTATGACACCTCCTGCGCGGGTGGAATTCTGAGCACATCCAGAAGGTACAAGTTAGAGGGTCTTGTGGTACAGCGATAATCGATGTATTATAACAAGCTGTGGTATCTTTTAAGGTTTTGGCTGGTTTTACGATTCCTCACATAAGCCATTCCTTAAAGACTACAAAGTAATAGACTTGCTCTGCAAACAATATGTAGATCATTCAAAAGAAACAAGTATTTATAATTTATTTTTGTTCTTGTATCATTACATAATCAAGAAATAAATTTACAAAGTATTCACCAGACTTACTACTGCCAGTAAAATAAACATCACAAAATTTTCTTATGCAAACTCCAACCTGAAGCATATTTCCTACATAACATTCTGTATATGGTGGTCCACGAATTGATTGCTGAGGCCTTACAAAAGTACTTAATGTACTGCCAGCTGATAAAATGATTCAGGAATTTCATTTTTGAAGCTGCAATTGCAGGATGAACTGATTTAAACATGCCTCTGTGTTGTGCTCTTAATGCAGTGTCACTTGTGATCAGAAGCAGTTAAAGCACTTGGGTGTTAGTGGCTCTAATTCAAAACATTAGGCAGCACAATCAATCCTCTCCCACAAACCATCCGAAGTTTTTTTGTAGATCCTGGACCTACCCTTAGGAAATAATGGCTCCTCTGGATAGCGAGACAGAAATCGGAAAACGGACCTCTCCTGTGTAACAAAGTGTGATGGTTCAACAAGTGGCGATGTTGAAAAGTTCTGTAAAGAGACAGCAATTAATAGTGTATATACCCAGAGAAGTGAAACTCCTGAAGTGTTCACATACACACCTTTCATACAACTTCCAGTAAGCAACACAAACATTTAAAATAATAAGTGCTCTGTACCTGCAGTATCACTTGATCAGTCTGCTGCAGCCAGAACTGAGCAGCTGTAAATTGTTTCCACTGGTAAGGGTCAATCTGCAGTTGTTCCTCTTTTGCGTTATAAATTGACATGATCTTTAGAAGACAAAAAAATTGATGACTGAGAAAGCAAATGTACAGCAGACAGCTTGGTGATTTTAAATTGGACTTGTGGTTTTGAAACTTACAGAACCCCCTAAAAAAGTACGAGCAGCACGGATAACCTCATCTGGGCCTCTGTCTGGGAAAGTTGCATGAAAAATATCTCCAGTTTTCACATTTACAGCTGAAAGAAAATTATCCGAACCACATGGAACATTAAACTTTTTTTAAGATGTCCTAAAATCAATGATTTATAGAAGCAGATAACACCAAACCTCATGTACTTTTCAAATAACTTCCCTGAATAGAAATAAGCAAGCACTAGGCATTTTGTTTTCCTTTTTCTAAGTTCAAGACAGCAGGTAATATCCTCACTCTTACTGCTGTTAACCAGGGCTGTAATAGAAACACACCTGTCCTATGACTCTTCAGCTAGGAGTAGCTCAAACACAAACTAGGAATATCTCAAAATTAGCATCCACTGACTTGTCCTTACTTACACAAGGTTAAAGACTAGCAACATTTAGAACACAACAGTAGCCTAAGCAAGGTGCCAGAAGGTTTCCGATACCCACAGAATTCTTAGTACAACTTGTTTTTATTTGGAGAGGTATGAAAAAAATCAAGTATCCCAGAGCACATGATTCTGCATCTTGCAATAGTTTAATTTCCTTAAGTTTGAAATACAGGTTTTGCAGAGCAAGTTAGACAAAAGCTTGGTAAACATGAAAATGAGGCAGATTAAGTGACAAAAATGCAATGAATACTCACCTATCCCATAAATTACAGGCCAATGAATGTTTTGCTTCACTACATCATTAAGTTCTACAAAAGAATGGTTATTTAAATATTTAATTAGTGTAAGAATTTCATTTTACTGTCCAGATCAATTACCAGTAAGGCAAAAAGAGATGAGACATTTAGGGAAGAAATAACATGTTATATAAATGGAAATTGAGAGATTTTATTACGGCCCTAGACAGCCACAACCAAAGAACTTTTGAAGTACAGTTTTTTTTTTTTAAAAAAATTGTGCGATATTCAGCAGCCAATTTTTGCGCCCAGCAAGGTTTCATATATGAAAAATGTCTACATTCTGTCATAGGATGTGTGTAACAGGCCTTACTTTGAGTCAGTGATCTTATGCCAGAATAGTTAGCATGAGGTAATACATCACAGAAGAATGAAAGACAAAGCATCGGTGTAGAAACAGAAACATCTTTCAGCATTAATTAGATACATTGAATGATCCCAGTTTTGGATCAGGCAGGCCCAAGACTCAATCAACATCAACACTGACGACAGCACTCAGCTGAGAGGGGGTGGCAATTAGAAAGGAGTGCAAGCTGGGATGACAATGGTTTTTATGAATGGGTTCCAAAACGAGCATCGCACCCTGACTAACACATGCAAAAAATCTAAAGATTATTTTAAACACCAACCAGGAATGTCTGCAAAATTGTTTTCCAAGAATGTTCTCCAAAACAAAGTAAGAGGACTGACATTTTTCGGTCACAGGATACAGTCCCATAAGATTAATCCCTTCTCTGCCTGCTAAAATGGATGTAATGAGGTCCAACCTTTAGGTCACTAACTTTAATGAACTGCAACCTGAAGTGCTGCTTCAAGACCGGGTGCTGTTAAGTTGTCAGCTTCATGGCATGATTTCCCAAATGGCCAGGCTATTGCAGAAAGGCAGCATCATCTGAAGCTTGGAAACTGCCTCAGCAGGAGGAAGCTAACACCTCAACAGAGAGTGAATCAGTTTCTGGGTCAACCGAGCAAATGATAATGCCCCTGAATATAAAGGGGAGGTGATTAGGCTCTCCATTGGTGATAATCATTATTTGCTAATCATGTGATCAAACTGTACTCGTCACTTATCAACACAAGCCTAGAACTTGTCCAGGTCTTGCTGCATGAGAGCATGGACTGCTTTAGAAAATAGAGACTAGAATAAGCCATTGGGCCCTTTCAGCCTGCTCAGCTAATCAATATGGTCATGGCTGACATTTGTTATCTGAGAAACTGCAAATGTCTTACAATCATCCACCAATGTTTTATACATCATTAATAAAACTTCATTTATGAGAAGTAAAACCATGGGGTTATAAACAATTTAAAACAGATTCATCACATTTCAGTAAAATATATTTTTAAAACAAATTTTAGTTCCTTATTCTTACCCAAAGGAATGAAGGAGGAGAGTCAGAGTAAATGCAATTGATTTACCTGTTAAACAGTATGTTTCCAGATGAATGTTCTCTGATTGACAATTCAAAGCTTCTGCAAATGAATGCAGCAGAAAATCACTGAATATATGCAGGAAGTTTAACAAGAGTGACCTCTAGGATGCAATTATGTTTTGCAGGCCTTTAAGTTATACCCTGAATCACAAAGGATGTCTAAAAATAGATCAGACAATCTGTTGACAAATTGCAATACTAAGTTAGAGTGACAACATATTTTCAGCCTTGAAAATAATGGAACTCACCAATACTAATGTTAGAGAGATTTTTTAGAAGCAGCAAGTGTTACAGTCTACAAGAGTGAGCAATTTCTAAACATGCCAGCGATACAAGTTTTTAAAAACACCAATTTCTCATTTATCAGAGAATTTCTAATGTACTTGCATCTCACAGCTCACAACGACAATTATTACATTTCTCAACATCACAATGAATTTCTCTAACCAATGGAAGAATTGTGCAGATCAGAAAATATCCCCAATACAGGTTACATTTATCAATTTCAGTGATGGCTTTGTAACATTCTGGAATTTTTATATGCAGTGTCTGGAAGAGATAGGATTTTAATTTGAGTTACAAACTAGATTCAAGTGAAAGGAAAATTGGATCCACAATTAGCTTAATGGCATGAAGCAAATGCTAATAGGTGACAGGATGCTTTTGTGACTGGAAGGCTATCAACCAGTAGATTTGCAGGACTCAGTAATCAGTCCCTTGCTTTTTGTAGTTTATAATAATTATTGCCACTCAAATAATGGGGGCATAAAAAAAGTAGTTTGCAGATGACAAAACTGGGCTGCGTGTGACAGCAAAAAGGAAAGCTTTAGACTACAGAAAGAAGGTAGATGGCCAGGTCTGTGGACAAAAGATGAAAGATGGAATTCAATCCAGAAAAATTGAAACAATATATTTTGGGAGGTGCAACAAGACAAAGGAATACACAATCAACAGGACTCTGAGAACTGTGAAGGAGCAAAGGGAGCTGGGAGAGCAAATCCAAAGATCCTCGAAAGTAATAGCACAGGTTGATGAGGTGGTTAAGGCGGCATATGGCATTCATTCTAAATGAAACACAAACTTGCCTTGTTTTGGGTCCAACAAGAACTCCATTTTCCAGAAGGTCCAAGAGTTTTGGAGCATTTCAGAGTATGGCAGAGTCGCAGGCTGTTCATGCTCAGTTTAAGTTTTTTTTCCCTTAGAAAGAAAACTGAAGGACTTAATATTTGAAGGGAAAGTGCACTTCTTTTGTGAATACTAGTGCAAAAAGGAGACAAGGGGACGAACTGCAGGATGCATAATGGGGCCCAAGGGATCTGGTTCAATTGGTTAGAGGTGACTGAAGAAGATTGATATGTTCAGGCTACTGCTCAGTCAGGTGCTTAGGAGCAGCAGGAAGATGCTGTGGCAGCAGAGGTTTTTTTTGTGAGCAAACTGCAGGGAGTCAGGACTCAGAAGTTCTGAGACGTGTGAAGGCAGATTGCTGCCTTTGTATTGGAGAGAGAAGAGTAGCCATATAAAGTGTCTCCATACAAACTAAAGTGTTGCTGCTGGTTCTGAGGAACTGGAGACTCACCAAAGTCCCAGGAGCCATCTAGTAACTGAAAACACATATGATCCTACAAAAGTAGGGGAGAAGGAAGCCTAGAAACAGTATTTGCTTGGTGCAGTGGAGAAAAATTGCTCTGAGAAATTCAGGGGCAATGGCAACTCCATGAAGTCTTGTAAAAAGCTGATATTGTGCCGATATTTAGATGCTTGTGAATAGTCTTGGGAATCCCATAGAACTCAGTCTCACAAGAAGGGACTGAACCACAGCATATGAGCAGACCTTGAGGCAATCCAAATTGGAGCAATGTTTGAAGAAATTAAGAAGCTAGATGTTTGAAAAGGAAGACTTGATAGCCATCGTGAGGAATGCAAAGTCTTAATGAGATTTTTCAACCTAATGTCACAAAATCTGGATTGGTTACTGAGAAATCTGTGGGATATGTCTTGATCCCATCAGTTATTTGATGTGTCATGTGGGGCGTTTAACCACAGTTTGTCTGTTAATCCACGTTCACCTCATGTTAATTCAGGATTCTAGAGTATAAGCTGTAAACATATGTAGACCATTTTACTTCTTTAACCCTGTATACTAAAGTTTATTCTGATTGTACAAAAAAGAGGCGTCATATGTCTTCATTCTCTTATTGATTACCTGGAATTTCAAACTCTTGTCTCCTTTAAACAAAAAAAGTTAGTAGTCCATTAACAGATTGTAACATAAATTTGTTAGTTTTGTCTCAGATCAGAACATTTCCTTCATTATCAATGGGACAGACTATAAGAACATAAAGCCATGCTAGAATGGTATCCAACATTAGTTAACCCATGCCAAATACTGCATACAGTTCTGTTCACCACATCAGAGGAAAGATGAGATTGGAGTAGGTGCAGAGGAAGTTTAGGATGTTGCGGCTAGGACTGGTACATTTTAGTTATGAAGAAAGACTGGATATGCTGGGGTTATTCCGCTTGGAGGGAGTCTGAGAGTGACTTAATTGAGGTGCAGAAAATTATGGGGGGCCTGCATGGAGTAAATAGGAACAACCTATTTCCTTGAGCAGAGGGGTTGTAGATTTAAAGTAATTGATAGAAGGTTTAGAGGGGAGATGGGGACACATTTTTTTCACCAAGATGGTGGTAGAGAACTGAAACTCATTGCCTGAAAAGGTGATCAAGGCAGAAGAGTCAACCTGAACAGCCATGATCTGTAGGGCTTTCAGTTGAGCAGAGGAAGGTAGGATAAGGCTGGATCGCTCTTTACCAACCAGCACCAAAACAATGAGCCAAAGGGCCTTGTGTTGAAAATTTTCAATTACTTCCATAATTTTTACATAGTACTAATTAACAGACATATTTTCAACAGCATTTGAAGCCAGTCAACTTTAAATCTAGATTACTGCTTTAACCATTTAGAAAATTAATTAGGACACACTGGGTTTTGGCCACTGTAATTGAAAAATGAATGAGTTTCTGAAGAAAGACTATTCACCATCAGAATGTTCACCAGTGCACACTGCTGTAGCTTTTATGGAAATCACAGCAGTCAAATATCTAAAACAGTCACATTCCTCAAATAAAAACCTTTGTTCATTAACACAGATGACATCCTTTCTTTCCGCTGATGTTGGTGAACTCATTGCAAGTCAATGAAATCGGAAAATGTTCTTTATCCGAGGCAAGGGCCAAATTTCACCCTCTCTTTCAGGGGTGGGCAAACCTTTTGGCCAGAGGACTAATCTGGGTATGGAAATTTTATGGAAAGCTAGCCACAAACCCTCAAAACATCATCCAAGGAAAAAAACAAAATAAACCAAACCACTACATAATTATAATTTGCATTTGGAGAGCACCTTCAAGTTAGTAAAACATTCCACAGTGTTTCATCGAAGCATCGAGAGGAAAAAGTGACACTAAACCAAATAAAATACAACACAGTACAGAAACAGACCCTTTGACTCCCCAAGCCTGTGCCTATTCCTAATCCTTATTTAGACCTGCTACGTATTGCCCACATGCAGTTTCTATCCCTCTGTTCACCTCCCATTCAATTGTCTATCCACTCTTTCTATGCATCTCATACTTTTGTAGACCTTTATCAGGTCACCCCACTCAAGCCTCCGACTTTCCACTGAAAACAATCCGAGTTTATCCAACCTCTCCTCATCACTAAAACCCTCCAGATGAGGCAACATCCTGGTAAACCTTCTCTGCACCCTCTCCAAAGCCTCCACGACCTTCTGATTGTGTGGTGATCAGAACTGCACGCAATATTCCAAATGTGGCCTAACTAAAGTTTTGTATAGCTGTAACATCACTTGCCAACTTTTATATTTGATGCCCTGGCCAATGAAGGCAAGCATGCTGTGTGCCTTCTTGACCACTTTATCCATCTATGTTGCCACTTTCAGGGATCTGTGGGCCTGTATTCTCAGATCCCTCTGTATGTCAGTGCTCCCGAGGGTTCTGCCATTTATTGTATAATTCGTACCTTAATTTGATCTTAAAAAAAATGCATCACCTCGCATTTGTCCAGATTAAACTTCATCTGCCATTTCTCTGCTGAAATCTGCAATCTATCTATATCCCACTGTATCCTTTGACAATCCTCCTCACTATCTGTAACTCCGCCAATTTTGGTGTCATCTGCAAACTTACTAATCAAACTACCTACATTTTCCTCCAGATCATTTATAAAAATGACAAAGGTCCCAGCACTGATCCCTGCGGAACATCACTAGTTACTGATCTCCATTCTGAAAAGCACCCTGCCACCGCTTCTCTGTCTTCTGACCAAGCCAGTTTTGTGTCCATCTAGCCAGCTCACTCCAGATCCCATAAGACTCTACCTTCCATACCAAGCTGCAATGAGATACTTTATCAAATCCATCTAGATAGACTGCCCTTCCCTCAATTATTCCTGATACCCCCTCAAAAAACTCAATCAAGTTGGTGAGACATGACCTGCCTCGCATAAACCCATGCTGCGTATCACTAACAGGTCCATTCACTTTCAAATGTGAATAAATCCTGTCTCAGTATCTTCAACAAAATCCCCACCACTGACGTCAGGCTCACCGGCCTGTAATTACAAGGATTATCACTGTTTCCCTTTGTTAAAAAAAAAAGGAACAACACTGGCCATTCTCCAGTTCTCTGGAACTTCGCCTAGGCCAAACCGGATACAAAGATACCTGTTAAGGCCCCAGCTATTTCCTCCCTTGCTTCCCACAGTATCCTGAGATAGATCATGTCTGGCCCTGGGGACTTGCCTACCCTAATATACTTCAAGACACCCAACACTTCCTTCTTCATTATGTTGACTTGCCCAGGAGTATTCATACACCTTTTCCTAACCTCAATATCCGTCATGTGCCTCTGTTTGGTGAGTACCAATGTAATGTACTCATTAAGGATCTCTTCCATTACCTCTGGCTCCACACATAACTTTCCTCCTCCATCCTCGAGTGGGCCTACTCTTTCCTTAGCTACCCTCTTGCTCCTAATATATGTATAAAATGCCTTGGAATTCTCCCCGTTTGAGCTCCTTCCCACTTCCTCTATATTCTTAAAGGATTTCAACTGTTTTTAGTTGCCTAGACCTTAGGTATGCTTCCTTTTTTGGACTAAGCTAATAATTTCACTGTCATAGAAGTTTGCCAGATCCTGCCATTTCTGTCCTTCATTTTCGCAGGAATATGCCTGTGCTGTACTCTAATCAACTGGTCCTCGAGAGACCCTCACATGTCCGATGTGGATTTACCGTCAAACAGCCACTTCCAATCCACATTCTCCAATTATTGCCTAATTCAGTTATAGTTGGCCTTCCCCCAATTTAACAACTTCAATCTGACGTCCACTCTTGTCCTGATCCATAAGTATCCAAAAACTTATGAAATTATAGTCACTATTCCCAAAATGCTCCCCCACTGAAACTTTAATCGCCTGGGCTCATTTTCCAATACCAGGTCCAGCATGGTCCCCTCCCTCGCTGGACTATCCACAAACTGTTTCAAAAAACCCTCCTGGACACACCTAACAGATTGCTCCCCATCCAAAACCCCAGTTTAAGGGAGTCCCAGTCAATATTTGTGGTGGGGGGTGGGGGGGGAAGACATTCTTATTTTCACAGAATCATACAGCATGGAAACAGACTTTTCGGTCCATCCAGTCCATACCGCCCATAATCCCAAAATAAACTAGGCTCACCTACCTGCTCCTGGCCCATATCCCTCCAAACCTTTCCTATTCACATAATTATCTAAGTATTCTTTCCAGAATCTGGCTGTATATCTCATCCTTGATCTTCTGCTGGCAGCTGGGAGGTCTGTAGTGCAATCCCAGCATTGTGATTGCACACTTCCTTTTCCTCAGCTCTAATCACAATGCCTCGCTGCAAGATCCCTCCAGAGCGTCCTCCCTCAACACAGCTGTGATATGCTCCCTCACCCGTAATGCAACTCTCCCACCTCTTTTACTTTTTCCTGTTTCATCTAAAACATCGACATCACAGAACATTAAGCTGCCAATCCTGTCCCTCTTTCAACCATGTCTCTGTGATAGCAACAGCATCACAACTGCATGCATTAATCTAAGTTCAGCCATCTTACTTGTCATAGTTCTTGCATTGAAGCAAATACTGTTTAAGCCTCCAGTTCCACTGAGCTCAGCAACCTCTCCCTGACTGCTCTTCTTCTTGGCTATATTTGCCTTAGACTCAAGCTCTTCCTCTGTCTCTCTGTTTACTGACCTGATGCTCTGGTTCCCACCCCTTGCCACACCAGTTTGAACCCTTCCTAGTGGCACTATGAAACCTCCCTGCCAGGATACTCGTACCCCTCCAATTTAGGAGTAACCTGGCCTTCTCGTACAGGTCACACCTTCCCTGGAAAGCATCCCTATGATCCACATATCTGAAGCCCTCCCCACTACACCAGTTCTTTAGCCACATGTTCAATTGCACTCTGTCTCCATTCCTAGCATCAGTAGCATATGTGCATGGGGAGTAATCCTGAGATTACTACCCTAGAGGTCCTGCTTTTTAGTTTACTACCTAACTTTCTGAATTATCATTGCAGGACCTTGTCCCTCTTCCCACCTATGTCATTTGTATCAATATGAACAATGACTTCTGTCTGTTTACACTCCTATTTCAGCATACCCTCTACCCACTCAGAGGCATCCATGACTCCGACACCAGGGAGGCAACATACCATCCTGGAGTCTCTCGCGGCCACAGAAACGCCTGTGTCTCTGACTATCAAATCTCCAACTACTATTGCTCTACTACATTCTGTTCCTCCCATTTGTGCAACAGGGCCAGCCATGGTGCCACTGCTCTGGCTACTGCTGTCACCTGATGGGCCATTCCTCTCACCAGTATCCAAAAGGGAATACTTGTTTGACAAGGTGGGTAAAACAACTCAAAGTTTAACCAAAGAGACAGGCACCTTGGAGGTCTTAAAGACAAGGAGTGAACTAGAGGCATTGAATTAAGGGGGGGGGGGTAAAATTCCAGAGCTTTGGGATCTAGATAGATGAATACACTGCGACCAATGAAATGCAGGACAGAATCAGTGCTCAAAAGGCTAGACAGAGTTTGAAGAACTCAAAGTTCTTCTAGGGTTGCAAGGTTAGAGGAGATTTTAATAGAAAAGAATTTTAAATCACAAGAAATTCTTGCGGGAAGTCACAAGGGTGGGGGAAGAAAATTAGGAAAAGTATTTTCTGCGATTGTAGTCTTATCAAACAGAAAGATAACCACAAAACCAAGGAACAAAAGAAACAAGATATATAACATGCACTTGTTAACTGTATTTTACAACAATTTCAACTATCATATTTTTTCTTTCTCGTTTTCTCACAACAGTATTATCACAAGACATTACCACTGTTACATCAGCATAATAAATAGATAAATTCCCAAATATCTCAACAGTAAAATATATGATTAAAACCTACCAAGAAGTTCAAGAGTGAGTCTGTGAGACAATGACCTTTCATCAATGAAACCCCCTACAAGGTGAACTTCATATCTAAAAACACAAAAGTACAACAATTTCACAATTCTTTTTTGAAAGGAACTATTTAATCCATAAGATCTTCCAATCTAATCAAACATTAACATTCTTTACTTCACATCATGTTCACTCAGGAAAGCAAAGAGAAGAAAGTAATTTCAGTCATGCATGGTCTTATTAAAAATTTACTAAACAGTAAAAATGTGGATGAAATATTAAGGATATTTGACAATCAAGGTGACGTTCAGCTTCTGTATTTTAAGAGGGGAGGTGTCAAGACATCATTGTTTCAATTTAGACTGCTTCCTTCATGATAATTTTTAAGACTTTCCCTTAATTAGTCTTGTTTTACCCATCAGTCCACTCTGAACTACATTAAAACCAAGGTGCAATGCTGCTCAAGGAAGTACACTTCTGCTCAACCACCCAGTATACCAGAGATGTTGTTAGTCTTTTGGATTATCACGTAACTGCAGTGTGCAATTCAACCTGACATGAAAATGCATTAATTACTGATTTTGCAGAATTACGATATTTTAAACAGTTTCAAGCCGAATAAGCAATAAATGAAGAAGATTAGTTTATAGTAGATCTTTTATTAGTCACAATATCAAAAATTCCACAATTGAATCCTGAAAATTCTGCTGTCCTAAAATATTACTGAAGGAAAGAGTGTGGGCAATGCCGTACGCACCATATCATAATAGGAAATCTATGCCAACCTACACTTAATACTGACCTGGCTGCTGATTGGGCCAGACAACGTGTTGCCAAAGTTCTTTAGGTGACTGACATTGTTGCAATGGGGAGGGGAGGGTGTCCACATAGTTGCTGACCATAAATGCTTTAATATTAGTCTTTCAGACAACTTAAAGATTAAAAGACTCAACGAAAGAGGGTAACTGAGAATCCTCAGGATGAGGAAGTAAATAACCAGACTTGAATCCATTCAAAAACATTAATCAAGATGATCTTAACTTCAAGGAAATACCAAAATCAATGTTCCTGACTTTCATCAGAGCCTCAGCAATTAAAATTATCTTGCACATCCACTTTAAGCAATTCCATAGGAGCAGGACAGTCCTATTATTATTTTACTTTGGTGAAAATCTAAAACACAGGACATCAAGTGATCCAAATATTCAAATTTCTCACCCCCATTTCAAATTGGAATTTTGAATCTTTCCAACATAGGACATAGAACATTACAGCGCAGTACAGGCCCTTCGGCCCTCGATGTTGCGCTGACCTGTGAAACCAATCTGAAGCCCATCTAACCTAAACTATTCCATTATCATCCATATGTTTATCCAATGACCATTTAAATGCCCTTAAAGTGGGCGAGTCTACTATTTTTGCAGGCAGGGCATTCCATGCCCTTACTACTCTGAGTAAAGAACCTACCTCTGACATCTGTCTTATATCTATCACCCCTCAATTTAAAGCTATGTCCCCTCGTGCTGGCCATCACCATCCGAGGAAAAAGGCTCCCACTGTCCACCCTATCTAATCCTCTGATCATCTTGTAGGGCTACTCTTTCTCCTAAATCTTCTTATAGGAGTAGGTAGACTGGAAATTATAGCAACTAGGAAAACATTGTTCACAAATATAAAAGCTGACATCGACAGATAACCATTAATCACTGAGTGAAATGTAGGTATCAGGTGGAATGATTCAGGAACTGTAGGTTTGCCCTTCTTAGCAGCTTATAGTGCAGTGCACAGGGAACTTACCTTCCAGAATCACATCCTACTGACAAGGACTTCACCGCATTGAACATTAAAGAGACTGTCAGTTCTGTATCTGCTCCATCACAATGTCCCAAACTTGTAGCCCCACTCCCTAAAAATGAATCCAAATAGTGAACATAAGAACAGAATGCATTGTTGAGGGAAATATGACAAAATAATATGGATGCAGCACTGGAGGGGTGATAGAGGAAGAAAATTCAGCCAGAGACACCAGAGCTGAGAGCCATCCAATGTTTATATTGTTATAATCTCAGCTGATATTTCTTGTGGACAAAGCATTTACCAGAATTAACTCTGCCTTGATAGATCATGTTCTGTCCTCTTTTAACATGGTATGTTTTCACTGAAACATATGCACGCAAGGCGGTAGATTTGGTTTTAATCATAAAATAGAAGTTTATTACACAAAATAAACAATGAAATAAATCATAAAAAGCTTTATAAATATAACAGATTTTTTTTAAAATCCCATCTGCTTACCAATACCATCACTTTACAGTTACTCAAAAATCAGGGAGATTTTATTTTCCTATCAAATCTATATGTTTGACTCAACTGCTACTTCTCAATCCTGGTCCCGAGAGCTGCAAAGCCATTTACTTCAATCCTGATCTTAAAGCTTTTCTCAGTCTTTTTATTATCTGCAGAGTCCTAAGCAAATACCCTGATCTGGAAGTTTCACAAACTACCCCTTTAACTGTGTTAACATTTCTTTAACTGCTCTGAACAATATCCTAGAATCACGTAGCACAGAAGAGGCCCTTCAGCCCATCAAGTCTACACCAGTCCTACTTTCCCACATTTGGCGCATAGTCTTGAATATTAAATGACAGTTCAATTCCTCATCCAAGTACTTTTAAAAAGATTGCGAGATTTCCCACCTCAACTACCCTCCCAGGAAGTGCATTCCAGACATCCACCACCCGCTCAATGAATACAAATTCTTCAAGTCCCCTCTAAACCTCCTGCCTTTCACTTTAAACTTATGTCCCCTTGTTATTCAACTAAAGTACACAGCTGCTTTCTATCAACCCTGTTCACGTCCCTCATAATCTTATACATATTTTTCCTTTTTTTCCATGGGAGAAACTATATGTGCAACTGACTTCAATCAGGTCTCTTTCAAATGACTTCAATCAGGTCTCTTTCAAACTGTCCAAAAGCTCTCCAATCTCTGGGGTTTTCTCAACTAAAATCAACCCTTGATTATTATAAACCCAATAACAAGCTGGTATCTTTCAATGTTTTCTCTCTCCAGTTGTAAAGACCCACAATATAAACAAACTTCTATTAATACGCCATGTGGCACATACCAGCTTAAAATCATGATTCCAGAAAGACTAACATAGTTAATTTTTAAACACTTTCATATAAAATTGATTATTTGCCAGTACTCTAAAAAGAATGACATGAATCCATATAAATTATACACCTTCCATTAGAATTGCTGAGAGTGCAGGCATGCCTGTGTATATATCTGTGAATATTCAGCAAGGACATCAGAGACATACAAGATAACACCAATGGCTAAGCAACATGTTCAGATTTCTCATTACCCAAAGAGTGGTGAGAAATGTAGAACTTGTCACAACGAGCAGTTAAGATGACCAGCGCAACTGCATTTAAGACGAAGCTAGGTAAACACATGACGGAGAAAAAAAAAAATGAGAAGAAATTTGTTCTTTTCAGGTTAGATGTAGTAGGAATGAAGGAGGCTCATGGGGAGCATAAGTATGAATAAGTTGGGCTGACCGGCCTGCTCCATGCATACATTTTATGTAAATCCACTGTAGTAGGTTCATTCTTTTACTTTGCCTCATGGCATTTTTTGAGAGAGAAGTTGGTACCTGCATAGTTGTACCATAATCCTCAGGAGGAGAAAAAGCAGAAAACACAAATTAAGTAGATTTCATATATTTATCATGGATGTGATTATGTATTTGATGCCAGCACATTTTTAAATGTCTTCTAAACATTATAACAGTAATTAGTACACTAGAAAACTACTTTACATCATCTAGATTCCATTTACAAAGGGCAGTTTGGATATGGGATCGTAAGATGGAGGGAAAAGATAAAGAATAAATTAAAAGCAGTAAAAGAGTCATCTAATTCCTTTTATGAAAAAAACCTTTAAAAATACATCAATTTATCTGCAACTAGCCAAACAATCTAATTCTGCATGCAATTCTACGATGTAGTTCCCCTACCACCTACAAGTCAGCTGTATGATGAAATACTCTTCACTTATTTAGACCACTGCAGCTCCAATACGCAAGAAGCTCAACACCATCCAGAAAAAAGTGCCCACCCACTGGGCATGCACTCTATCATTCAAGTTAAATATCCATGTATCACTGGTGTAACTGTGTACTACTGACATGGTTCCATGTAACATGTAGCTAAGAAATTCATCAGTAAAACTTTCTAAACCGTTCATCTTTACCACTGTGAAGGACAAGTGTGTCAAATCAGATGAGATATTGATTTGGACATCTATTGTTGTTTATTCATTGCTTTCAACACAGACTGTAGCAGTTCAAGATGGTTGATCACTTTCTCAAGGCCATTTGAGATGTGGAATAACTCTGGCTTTGCTAGCAAAATTTATATAATTGCAATGAATTATTTTAGAATACATAATTATTTGCCAAATTAAATCAAATCCCCAATTATGTTACTTGTACTGCTGTTTGGTTTTAAAACTGCAGAATTTCAGGGACTGAAAAAATCTAGTCATTTTGGCTTGTTCAAATGAAGACACCCATCTGCATTATTCCACACAATGAATCTTCAAGTTATCACAAATATCTGTTGACTGCCCAATTGCACCACTGTAAAGCATCTCTCATTACCTGTGTGTCGCAGAACTACCATGTGGCAAGTGGTTGCATCTTCCGTACCAAGTATAGACACAGAACCTGTAGTTAAAGACATGCGGAAAGTGTTGGTCGACATCTTTGCATTTTACAATAATATGCTGTGCGCTCTCATCTTTGCTCCTAGAGCTCAATGGAAGTTTTATTTTCTTTGAATTTGAAGAAAATCACCCAGGCTGTCTCCTGACAATAAAGAATCACACAAGTGTGATACCAAATTAGTCACAACATCGTATAAATAAAATATACCAGTCACACCCAAGAACATTCCTCAGGCTTCAAGGTAACTTGTCCATGCCCAATTTAAGTTCTTGGCTTGATCTGCTTGGCATATTATACAATGTTACCGGACACCCGTAAGTAGCCGAGCTTGTCTTTGCCATTTAAACATTTTCAGCTTGTTTGTCTCCGAATCATAAGCAAACGTAATCCTACTTGGCAAAAATCCATAAAGTTGGTAGCTGTGTCCTTATCCCTGGAATAACCATTAATTTCTCTCATCATCCCATCATCTTGGTGCAGCCTCCATTTTCAGTCCCTCAAGTCCAAGAGATGAACACTTGAGCATATCTGTCCATAGAACTGCTTAACAATCCATTATTAGAGCTGGATCACATCAAGTGCTATCCAGCCTCACTCTCCTCTGCCGATACTACCCAATTCTAAAGAAACTACCTAGAAAAAAGGTAACTTGAAATCTTTCTTTCAGGACTAAATGTACCATTTAAACCTTCTCCTTTGCCCTCTCCATTTATTTACTTAGATGCAAGTAACTCACGGACTTTTTTGTCAGGAAGTTGGAGATCAACCATTCAGCTCCCTGCTCTCTTCCACTTATCCATCAAGCCAAATCCCTCAGATTTTAAGTGCACTTAGTCAGGATCCATGGCATTTATATCGCACCATATGCCCTCAGGACACTGCAGAGCACTTTACAACCCATCAATTTACTTTGAAGTGCAGTCGTTGTCTAGGATATGGCCAATCCATGCTCAGTGAGGCATTCCTGCAGTACATCAGCAGTTCATTATTCTACAACACTTTGAGAATGTCCGAGATTGAAAAAGGAGGCATGTAAATGAGGTTCCTCCTTCCTTTCTTTTCAAAAAGTTGCACTCATTCTTGTTAGGAAAAAAGTGAGCGAGAGAATATTTTAGTGTTTAAAATTGCCAGGAAATTGAAAGGTGGATGTAGACCATATAAAATAGTAATGCATATAACTATAAGTCAAATAAGGCACAAGCTAAATTTAATTCACGGAACAACTTTTTAAAATGTTTGTTGATTGACTGCCAAGTGCAACTAGGGATGGACAACAAATACCATCCTACACAGCGACTGCCACATCCCACGAATGTACAAAATAAACCTAGTACAGTAAATTGAGGCCATTAAATTTGAAAGGATCATCTCCAAACAGTGCGGCTAATAAACAGACCACTGACAAAATGGCCTTTCTTCATTCCTACAACTTCATCTTCGACATGTGAAAAACAGCAATACCTACCATCCCGAGGAGTTGTTGTTGCAAATTCTCTTTGATGAACATACAAAAGACCTTTAGGATCTATCTTACACACTGGCTTTGATTGGAGAGATTTTGCAGCTTCCTGGAAAAAAAAGGCAGAACTTGAGTTTACGGCAGTAAAAATGCTGACCTCACATGAAAAACAATGATAGAATAAGGAAATCTGAAAGGTGCATGTGTTCATATTCATATTACCAGTTAGAATAATTAGCAATTTATATCTTTGACTGTCTTCAAATTTGTTTTGCTCTTTGGCAAAGATTTATCTAAACCACTAACCATGTTAACAGATTAACAAGAACTACACTTTGGGTCATAAAATGACAGAATTTGATTTTTTAGTTTCTACAGTCTTTCAATTGATGATACTGCTGAGAAGAACTTTCATTTTGTGCTTGTTTAGTGACACAATGGCACTAGGAATGACTGCTATATTTGATACCTGTGATTGAACTAGTTATTCCACATGACGGTTTAGCCCGAGTACACATCACATCAACAATTTCAGTTATGCAATTCTCCTGGTTTTTAATCAGGCACTTGTACTACACTATGTGGAATGAGATATACAGCTCATCCCATTCACAGATTTAATGGCCCCGCTATCCTGGGTATCCAGGTCAGCAATGGGGTTCTTTAATTGGTTCATGGCTAGAATTTCTGGGGGCAGAGAGAGAGAGAGAGAGAGAGAGAGAAAGGAGAGTCAGAATTCTTACTTTGAGTCAGGATCCACTGATATCTTAAGTGGTTCCATACCCATCAGCATTTTGGCACAAATAACAAGATGCAGGAAACAGTAAGCTGCTCCCCAAGACTGCACACCCTGAGTCACAAACCAGACTGGAAAATAAAAGCCTGTTCACACAGCACATTTATAATTCAGAAAACAAAGTAAAAAAAGTATAGTAATCACAATGCATATACTGACTGCACAATTATGTACATAGAGGTTGCAACATGGGCTCATGGTATGAAACAGAATCATTCCATTTAATCTAATGGATCTTCAGCAGCACTATTTTATTTTAAAATACTTTTTTTTTTAAAAAAAATTCACTCACGGGACATGAACATCGCTGGCTGGCCAGCATTCTTTATTGCCCAGCCCTATTGCCCTTGAGAAGGTGGTGGTGAGCTTCCTTCTTGAACCACTGTAGGTTGACCCACAATGCCCTCAGGAAGGGAATTCCAAGATTTTGACACAGTGACACTAAAGGAATGTGATATATTTCCAAGAAAGATGTTGAGTGCTTGGAGGGGCTGTCAGTTTCTGATTCAAAGACTGTTCTTTTAAATGAATTTCACATAGTTCTGAACAAGTCAAATCAGACTCAAAACATGAAGTCTGCTCCTCTCTCTATAGATGCTGTTAGATCTTCTGAGTTTCTTCAACACTGTTTATATTTTGTTACCAAAAATGTTTCGCCCTGTTCCAAACGTATTTTAATCTTTTATCTCAACTCCATGTTCTTCAACCAATAACTGGAAGCAGTCTACTCCCGTCCATTCCTGTCCCATCCTCAGGTTTCTGCACATTCCTTCCCCGGTCTAAGCTTGGTCTCCACCTGGTCCAGAGATACTCAAAATGGTTCGTAACTTTGCAGATTCTCTTCCAGTTTGGGTGACATTGAACAAAATTCCTTTTGTTGGGGATGTTGCATTTTTTCAAGGAGACTTTTGAGGATTACCTGGATGTATTCCTCTGGCCTCCTCATAACTGCTTGCTGTGATGAAGCTCAGATTATAATGCTTGTTTTGGGAGTCTAGCGTCAGGTGTATGGACAATGTGGTCTATTAACCAGAACCAGTGTCTCAACGTTTGGAATGTTGGACTGAGAGAAAACTGGTACTAGATTGCAGGTGATATCTCTCCAAAGGTTTAAGATGTTTGCGATCCAATGGCCATTCTCCAGTCCATACGAGAAGGCAGGCAACACAACGATCCTGTATGCTATGAGCTTGATGTTGGATTGGAGGTATTTGTCAACAAGCACTCTTCCTTAGAACACTGAAGCTGGCACACCGGAGGCAATGTTCAGTTTACTGTAGCTATACATCTAAGTCATTGAAGTTGGCTGGACAAGTAAGAAGTCTGTTCGAGAGATATACAAGATCCTTTGATTTACAGTTAGATGTCTAGAGTACAAAAGTCAAGGAAGGTCGACTGAACTTCTAAAACAACTAGTTAAAACCCAATTAGAATATTGTCATCAATTTACAAACTTTAGCAAGGGTATCAAGTCCTTAAGGAGGATGCAGAGGAAATCTTTTACTAAACTGATACCTTTCTTTTCTTAAATGGAAGTGAGAATCACTATAGCCCTAGAGGACCATAAGACATAGGAGGAGATGGAGGCCATTTAGTCCATCAAATCAACTGTGCCATTCAATGAGATCATTGACCTGACAATCTTCAACTTCACTTTCTTGCTTTTCCCCCCCATCACCCATTATTCCCTTAACGATTAAAGATCCATCTCAGTCTTGAATATACTAATGACACAGCCTCGACAGCCCACTGGATTAAAGATTTCCACAGATTTACTGCCCTCAGAAAAAAATTCTACCTCATCTGTTTTAAATAGGCCATCCCTTACAATGAGATTATGCCCTGTGATGTTAGGGTTCCCATGTGGGCAAACTATCTCATTACATCTACCCTGTCAGCACTGTCAAACGCCAACCCAAACAAGAATTGTATATGTTTCAATAAGGTTTCCTCTCATTCATCTAAACTCCAATAAGTACAGGCCTAACCAATTCAACCTCTCCTCTTAGGAAAATCTTCCATGTCTAGGATCAACATGGTGAACCTTCTCTGGATAGCCTCCAATGTCAGTATGTCCTTCACTGGATAAAGAGGACCAGCTGTTCACAGTATTCTAGATGTGGTCTAGCTAGTGCGTTGTACAGTTTTAACAGGACATCCCTATCTTAATATTCCGTTTCCTTTGAAATAAATCGCAACATTCTATTTGCTTTCACTATTACCTGCTGAACCTGGATGATAGCTTTTTGTGATTTATGCACAAGGATCCCCAAATCTCTGTGCTGTGCTACTTTACCCAGTTAAACAATTTGCAGCTCCTGTCAAAGTGCATAACCTCACATTTTCCCACATTACGTTCCTCTAGTCTAAGGCTTTCCACGTTCCTATTTAGCACGTCACCAATTCTCATGTCATCAGCAAACTTACAGTTCAAAGTAGCTATATTCACGTTTAGATCTTTAATGTAAACCACAAACGGCAAGGTACCCAGTACCAAACCCTACTGTATGCCATCAGACATGTTTCTAGCCACAAAAACAATCTTCAACCATCACTTGCTGCCTCCCATCACTAAACCAATTTAGGATCCAATTTGATGGAAAATTACAGGTCAATTAGCCTAACCTCGGTCGTGGGTAAGATTTTGGAGTCCATTGTAAAATATGAGATTTCTGAACATTTCGAAGTGTATGGTAAAGTAAGGCAAAGTCAGCATGGTTTCATCAAGAGGAGGTCATGCCTGACAAATCTGCTAGAATTCTTTGAGGAAGTAACGAGCAGGGTAGACCAAAGAGAGCCAGTGGATGTTATCTACCTGGACTTCAAGGAGGCCTTTGACGAGATGCCACACAGGAGGCTGCAGAGTAAGATAAGGGCCCATGGTGTTAGAGGCAAGGTGCTAGCATGGATAGAAAATTGGCTGTCTGGCAGAAAGCAGACAGCGGGGATAAAAGGGTCTTTCTCAGGATGGCAGCCGGTGACAAGTGGCGTTCTGCAAGGGTCAGTGTTGGGACCACAACTTTTCACTTTATACATTAATGATCTAGATGAAGGAACTGTGGGCATTCTGGCTAAGTTTGCAGACGATACGAAGATAAGTGGAGGGACAGGTAGTATTGAGGAGTTGGGGAGGCTGCAGAAGGATTTGGACAGGTTAGGAGAGTGGGCAAAGAAGTGGCAGATGGAATACAACGTGGGAATGTGTGAGGTCATGACTTTAGTAAGAAGAATAAAAGCTTGGACTATTTTCTAAATGGGAAAAAAATTCAGAAGTCTGAAGTGCATTGAGGCTTGGGAGTTCTAGTCCAGGATTCTCTCAAGGTAAACTTGCAGCTTGAATCAGTAGTCAGGAAGACAAATGCAATGTTGGCATTTATTTTGAGAGGACTTGAACATAAAAGCAGGGATGTACTACTGAAGCTTTATAAGGCTCTGGTCAGGCCACATTTGGAGTATCGTGTGCAGTTTTGGGCACCATATCTCAAGGATGTACTAACCCTGGAGCGGGTTCAGTGACGAAGGGTCACCAGACCCGAAACATTAACTGTTTTCTCCTTCACAGATGCTGCCAGACCTGCTGAGCTTTTCCAGCAACTTTGTTTTTGTTCCTGATTATACAGCATCCGCAGTTCTTTCAGCTTTTATCTACGTAGACGACATCCACTGCACTAGTCATCCATACACCAAGATACCTCCTCAAAAAACATCAAATTTGCCAGACATGAAAATAAAATGAAGATCTGCAGATCTTGGAAATACAACACAATATACAATACAATACAGCACAGGGACTGAACAGGCCCTTCAGTCCACTAAGCCTGCACTGACTTGTAATCATTATTTAGGCCTGCTACTTACTGCCCACATGCAGTTTCTATCCCTCTGTTCTCCTTCCATTCATTTGTCTATCAAGGTATGTTTTAAGCGTTGCTGATGTGCCTGCTTCCACCACCTCCACTGGCAGTGCATTCCAGGCACCCACCACCCTCTGTGTGAAAAATTTTCCCCACACTTCTCTCTTAAACTTTCCACTTTCACCTTGAACCTGTGCCCTCTCAGCTGACCATTCCAGAGTGGGGAAAAAGCCTCTGACTATCTGCCTTATCTAAGCCTCTCATAATTTTGTAGATTTCTATCAGATCGCCCCTCAACCTCCATCTTTCCAGTGAAACAATCAGAGTTTATCCAACCTATCCTCATAACTAAAACCCTGCAGACTAGGCAACATTGTGGTAAACTTTGTCTGCACCCTCTCCAAAGCATTCACAATCTTCTGGTAGTGTGGCAACCAGAACTGCACGCAATATTCCAAACGTAGCCTAAGAGAAGTTTTGAAACAAACAAAAACAGATATTGCTGGAGAAACTCAGCAGATCCGACAGCATCTGAGAAGAGAAAACAGTTAGTCGAGTGACCTTTAGAAACTGATTTTCTCCAGAAATTGCTGTCAAAGACAATCTCCACCAACTAAGCAACAAAGCCTCTCTTTGATTACTTCATGTCTCTCCAGATGGGGATTAATTCTGTCCCTCAGAATGTCTTCCAATTGATTCCCTACTGCTGAATCTTAGATTCGCTGGGCTATACTTCCTGGTTGGGGCGGCGGTGGGGGTCAGTTAGCCAGGATGGCTGCTTTGAGAAGCAGTGATACCTACAGAATCCCTACAGCACAGACAGAGGCCATTCGGCCCATCAAGTCTGCAGCGACCCTCCAAACAGCATCACACCCAGGCCCAGCCTCCCACCTTAACCCTGTAAGCCCACATTTACCATGGAAAACTGACCTAGCCTGCACATCCACCTCATCTGCACATCTTCGGACAGCACAGGCTCAATTCCCACACTGGCTGAGGTTACCAGGAAGGACTCTCTTTCTCGACCTTTCCTTAGGTACAGTTAAACCTCAGGTTAAACCACCACCAGTCATCTCTCTGCCTCTCTAACGAGACAGCAGCCTTCTAATCTGGTAAGGCTATGGCAACTTTACCTGGTTCCTGGTTTATCCCTACCACCCTGCCTCATTAAGTGTCCTGTGACCAGAAATTTGAAAAATGAATGCCATCAACATTTAGGTTGTGCTCAAAATCTGCAGTTTCAAAGGGACAAGTGTGCCCTGATGTTCATGAAGGGCAGGTCATGCTTGACAAATCTTTTGGAATTCTATGAAGACATTACGAGCAAGGTGGACAATGGGGACCCAGTGGATGTGGTGTACCTAGATTTCCAAAAGGCCTTCGACAAGGTGCCGCACAAGAGGCTACTGCATAAGATAAGGATGCATGGCGTTAAGTGTAAAGTATTAGCATGGATAGAAGATTGGTTGACTAACAGGAAGCAAAGAGTGGGGATAAATGAGTGCTATTCTAGCTGGCAGTCAGTGACTAGTGGTGTGCCTCAGGGATCGGTGTTGAGACCGCAATTATTTACAATTTATATAGATAATTTGGAGCTGGGGACCACGTGTAGCGTGTCAAAGTTTGCAGATGACACTAAAATGAGTGGCAGAGCAAAGTGTGCAGAGGACTGTGAAACTTTGCAGAGGAACATAGATACATTGAGTGAGTGGGCAAAGGTCTGGCAGATGGAATACAATGTAACTAAATGTGAAGTCATACATTTTGGTAGGAGTAATAGTAAAAAGGATTATTACTTGAATGGTAAAAAGTTGCAGCATGCTGCTATGCAGAGGGACCTGGGTGTCCTTGTGCATGAATCACAGAAGGTAGGTCTGCAGGTACAACAAGTAATTAGGAAGGCAAATGGAATTTTGTCCTTCATTGCTAAAGGGATTGAGATTAAAAGCAGAGAGGTTATGTTGCAGCTGTACAAGGTGCTGGTGAGGCCACACCTGGAGTACTGTGCAGTTTTGGTCTCCTTACTTGAGAAAGGATGTGCTGGCACTGGAGGGGGTGCAAAGGAGGTTCACTAGGTTGATTCCAGAGTTGAGGGGGTTGGCTTATGAGGAGAGACTGAGTAGATTGGGATTATATTCGTTGGAATTATATTCATTGGAATTCAGAAGATTGAGGGGGGATCTTATAGAAACATATAAAATTATGAAGGGAATAGATAAGATGGAAGTAGAGAGGATGTTTCCACTGGCAGGTGAAGCTAGGACAAGAGGGCATAGCCTCAAGATTAGAGGGAGCAGATTTAGGGCTGAATTGAGAAGGAACTTCTTCACCCAGAGGGTTGTTAATCTATGGAATTCCTTGGCCAGTGAAGGAGTTGACGCTACTTCAGTAAACGTTTTTAAAGATAAGATAGATACTTTTTTGAACAATAAAGGAATTAAGGGATACGGTGAGAACGCGGGTAAGTGGATCTGAGTCCACGAAAACATCAGCCATGATCTTATTGAATGGCGGAGCAGGATCGAAGGGCCGAACGGCCTACTCCTGCTCCTAGTTCTTATGTTCCTTAGTAACCCTGTGTAAGGCAGGCTCTTCCGCCTTTACTCAGTCACTAGCTCCAACGCTTTAACCATTTTTCAGTGGGGCAAATAAACGCCGTGCACTCGGTTAATAAAGTTCCCCTCACCTTTAAATGCGAATAACGCTCGATAAAGTCGCCTGTCGACGACGGGAGCTGGATCGGGCGGTTACTGACGAGAAGCGGCATCGCCGCCGCCTGCCTCAGCCGCCTCTCACGACACACGCAACGCGCTGCTCTCTGGGTGTTGTAGTCGTCTAATGAACCAGGTGCAACCACTTCCGGGGAGATCCCGGAATCCGAACTACAAATCCCACAAGGTACCGAGGATCAGGCATCCCGGAGCACTGTCCCTGAACATTGAACAGCCCAGCTTCAACTCTAAAGGAATTAACACTTGCAGCTCGTGCGAAGTTATTCCAACACAGTTTAAGTCTCACCACACAGCCATGGAATAGTAAGAGTCTACTTAACAGTACAAAACAGATCTGGAATCCACATAATAGGACAGATGTGGTAGCACTGGAGAAGCTGCAGAGATTTACGAGGATGATGCCTGGGCTAGACAATTTCAGTTACGAAAAGAGATTGTACAGACTCGGATTGTTTTCCTGAGAGGAGAGAGGACATGATTGAGATGTATCAAATTGTGACAGACATCGATAGGGTAGAGAGAAAGACTTTTCCCCTTGATGGAGGATCAATAACAGGGGCTTAGATTTAAGAAAAGGTGCAGAAGGCTTAGACGAGAAGTGAGGATGAACCTTTTCATCTGGAAGGCAGTGGAAATCTGGAACTCACTGCTTGTCAGGGTGGTGGAGGCAGAAACCTTCATAAGAAATAAGAATTTAGCCATATACTTCCTATGCCAAGTCATACAAGGCTATGGGATTAGAATAGTTAGGTGGCTGTTTTTGAATAGCGCATATGCAATAGGCTGAGACATTTTTCTGTGCTGTACATTTCTGTGACTTCACAAACATAAGAACATTTTTCTGTTAGATGAAAACATTTTCTTTATTCATTTAACAGGATGAGGGCACCGCTGGCTAGGCAGCATTTATTGCCCATCCCTAATCACCCAGAGGGCAGTTCAACCACATTGCTGTGGGTCTAGAATCACATTTAGGCCACACCAGGTAAGGACAGCAGTTTCTTTCCCTAAAGGACATTAGTGAACGAGATGGGTTTTTCCAATAATTGACAATGGATTCACGTTATTATTAGATTCTTAATTCCAGATATTTTATTGAAGTCAAATTCCACCAGCTGCCATGGTGGGATTCAAACCTGGGTCCCCAGAACGTTATCGCGGTCTCTGGATTAGCAGTCTAATGATAATACCACTAGGCCATCGCCTCCCCAAAAAGCCATGATATACTAATCAGAATAGTTGCAAGGGGCTCTTGTGATGTAGTGGTAGTGGCTGTTCCTCTGGGCCAGAGTTGATTCCTGTCCCACCTGCTCCTCAGGATCCACGACACCAGTCTGGAAGTCATCCTCCATTCAAAGGGACTGCCAAAGATCAGGAGGAGGTGTTTTAAAAATGATCTCCAAACATGCATATCATCATTTGAATTCTGATGAAAGGTCATCAATAAACAGGTTTATAATAGAAAAAGTGACATCACAAATAGTTTTTCATGAGCAGAGTGGTTATTCACTAATAGTTGTGCCATTAAAATAGTTATGCCATTAAAAACCCAGTTACACCACATTAAGCGCATCATTGCATTTTTAGACAGTAAATTTATAGCATAAAAAAGGAAATTCTCATCAGTTTTATGATTTCTAAAGTGGCATCACCACAGCGCATTCTGTGGAGCAGCAGGGAATCACAAACAGCTTGTTCAAGATTTTTGCATTTAATGGTGCATTTGCAAATGCCAAATGCTGACAGTTTCACTTCCATTACAACAGCAAAATCTGGATCAATAGTGTTACTGACAGTTAAAAAAGATCAATATGTACATAAATCAGGGTTCTTATGGTGCAGTGGTAACATCCCCACCTCTAGGACAGAAGCTTTGCGTTCAAGTCCTATGGCAGATCTGTGGGCATGGAAGGTATATTTCGTACACAGCCACAAGCAAGTTGATTACCAGCCTGCAAATTCTTCCAATATGCCCAATGGCCAGTTGGTAAGAGCAGGAAAGTCATTCTGCAGGAAACAATGGCAAAACACTGCAGCACTTTGCCCATAAGTCTGGATCAAGACAAAGGAAATTCATGGCACAACCCTTGAAAATTCAGTTGGGAAAAAAGACAGACATGCACATAAAGTGAAGAGTTTTTTTTCAAGTACTAAAATGAATGTAATTCATCAGAATGGATAAATGTCCATTCTGCAAATATAAAATACTTTTTCCAGGTCAGGAAGGTTGTTCGCTAGCAATTATGAATGTAACAGCCCATTAAGAAGTGAGTTTTACTTCAAGTAGCAAAACAGTGCGTCTAACAAAAAGGAGAAAGTTCACATCAAATAAACATGCAAATTACCCAGCAACCTTCCAGTGCTCGAACTCAACATTTCTTTAGGGTGATCTAAACTAAAATGTGATCTACATCTTGCTGCATCACCAGGTACCAAACTGCACACTATACATTGATAATGTTTTGCTGGGAGTAATTAATTTGACCTTACTTCAAATATTTTTAGGCCAGGCAAATTAAAATCATTTTAAGCTAGGGATAAAATATTCCTCCATTTTCCGTTTCAGTAGCTTCTATTTATTGTCAGGATTACACAAGAAAATTGTTCATCAGTGCTTTTATTTAGCTACTTATTTTAAAGTGGCCAATGTCAACAAGTGAAACAATAACACATAAAATGGACAGCAAATTGGAGATTAGCATTAGTTGCCTGCATCAAATTCAAAAATATATATATTTCTTCCAAAAATATGTGGTGAAAAGAATTTGAAACATTATTTTAATTCAGACACTATAAAGATACTTGGGATTACAATTTCAGCATCACGATCCAAACATCATTACCACATTCTGTACATAGTTTTATCTTGAACAGGTAATTAAGGCTTATTTTTCATTAAAAGAAAAGAAATTTGAACCAACAAGAGGAACCCCACAACAGGAACCAAACAAATATGGAACTAAATCAAAGATATTTCAATATTGACAGCAATCATTTAACACAGTAGTATAGTAGCTGTTGAAAATTTACAAATTACTATATGCACAAATATACAAAAATATTTACACAACAATTCAATTATTAAGACAAAGGAACTCAGGAGTTAAGGAAAAATAGTGATCCAGACAAAAGCAAATGTCAGCATACAACATTCCTGGTTAATTGCTGATGTAGCATCTTCATCTCCATCTGAAAATATTATGTCGCTTATGCTTATGAATCAAAAGCAACTGTGATTGAAATCGCATCCAGAAGTTTGCATCTTTATCAAATTTACAATTAAGTTCAAAAATGATGCAGTGGAAACACAGCAAGTGGAGATCCAACACTGCTAGGGCTATGCATATGGGACTCCAAAGAACTTGGTGTGATCCCAATAGTCTCATTTTGCAATGATTCGCCTTTTAAGAAATCATCCTCCTCATCTTCAGCTGTTTCCTAAAAAAATGATCGTGAAGGAACATCATTAAGCATTTTAAAGCCAAATGGCAGTTACATAGTGGCTAATTAAACAACTGAGTTCAAGCCAAATATTTGCAGCCTAGTCAATCGTCAGGACAGGAGAGTTTTGGAATAATAAAGCGGTTCACTCAAAAATAAGAGATAGTAAAAAATAAACTTGCTTATTTATTACAATCTCACAGTGGTAACTGTACACTAGATGACTGCTAGCTTAAGACAGTTCCAGGAGTAATGAAAGATGTCCTCAGCGATAACAATAAAGCATTCGTAAAGTGTTAACCACTTCGGCGTTTGCTTGTTGAGACTCAACATTGGATTTTCCTCAAAGTTAAAAAAAAATGAAGGTTAGAAGAGTAACAAGTAACTTGATTCAAATACAAGGTCCTGAGAAATACATGTAAAAAGGATGTTTCCTCCTTTGACCAAATTTAGAATCAGGAGCTACAGTCTAAAAACAAGAAATTGCGTATTTAAGACAAATTAGGAGAAATTTCTTCTCATTGAGGGCCATAAGTCTTTGGAATTCTTCCTCAAACATGGTGGAGACAGAGTCTTTAAACATTTTTAAGGCAAAGATAGACATATTCTTGATAAGCAAGGAGGCAAAAGATGATCAAAAGTAGGTGCGAATGTGGAGTAATCAGATCAGCCAAGATCTTATTGAATGGTGCCACTGGCTCGAGGGGTCAAGTGATCTACTCCTGCTCCTTGTTCTTATGCTTGTAATAGTAACATAATTAGAATATTTCTGTTCCTTAGCAATGACTATTGCAAAGGTTTTACACAGAATCCACAACAATACACTGAATATCACGCCTCTCAGGAGTAGAATTAGAATCCCTACAGTGTGGAAACAGGCCCTTCGGCCCAACAAGTCCACACCGAACCTCAGAGCATCCCACCCAGATCCATCCCCCTATGACCCACCTAATACACACCCTCTACCTCCCTGAACACTACGGGCAATTTAGCATGGCCAATCCGCCTAACCTGCACACATCTTTGGACTGTGGGAGGAAACCGGAGCACCTGGAGAAAACCCACGCAGACACGGGGAGAATGTGCAAACTCCACACAGACAGTCACCCGAGGCTGGAATCGAACCCAGGTCCCTGGCGCTGTGAGGCAGCAGTGCTAACCACTGTGCCACCGTGTCGCCCAGAAACCATGCTCACTATTCCTGAAGTCATCACAAAAATTGAAGATTTTATCAAAGTTCAGAAAACTCTCTAATTTACCTGTGCCGTTAGACCCAGTTTACTAGAAAGCATGGACCCAATTTCTCTACTTAACAAGAATCACTTATTTATCACAAGTAAACAGATTACAGATTTTAGCTACAGCTAAACAACTATCAGTTGCCGACATATCTCTACTAGTTAAAATTCTAATCTCCTCATAAGACTCCTGTTATGCACATATACAGACAGAAAAACATTGGCATTATGGGTGGAGGGAGAAAGTAGGAAAACAGTTAAGTGGGCCCTGTCCACAGCATTGGCTGAGGTGATCCTTTTGCTTTGTCACAACTTACAGTTCATCAATTGTTCTGCTCCAGCTACTATTCACTCTTGCAGAAGGCATACAGTGACTGATTCACAAATTGTAAAGTCTTTTAGTTACTAGTTAAAAGCCACAGCTTACAATAACTGGTGAGGAAA